CAAGCAGGGAGCCCGATGCGGGACTCGATCCAGGGACTCCAGGATCATGACCTGAGCCGAAGGCAGTCGCTTAACCGACTGAGCCACCCAGGCGCCCTGCTCTGCTTTCCTTTAAGAGACCTTCCCTACCCAGCCCTGACTGCTCCGTCCGTGGGCTTGGATGCCCCGTCTCGCATAACCTCCATCTTGACTTCCCCCTCAGTTTATAGCCATAGTGCCTCAGAAAATTAAAACTAGACTTACAGATAACCAAATCCACCTTCCTCAATTTACAGGCAAGCTGAGAGGAGCCCAGAGGACACAAGCCCTCCCCCCCACAGTACATTGTGCACAGCATCCCTCCTAATGGTGAAAGTGGGACGTAGGTGGGAGCCTCTGCTGATCCCATGATCTCTGCTGTGCTCTCCCACTTCTTCACTTCCTCACTTGCCCTTCTCCTTCTCCAGAGTCCCATTCCCCCTTAATGTCCTTGTTCTCCAAAGACCAGAAAAATTCTGCCCTAGGATTTGGATGTATCTGCCAATTCACTCCCAAGAAAGTGGCCCTGGGAGCCCTTTGCTTAGGTCTCCCTCTTTCCACCTCTCCCCCAGGTCTCCTAACCACAGCCCGGCAGCTGGACAGAGAGAACAAGGACGAACATATCCTGGAGGTGAGTAGTGGTGTGAACTCATTCACTGGATTCAAAAACCTCCTGAAGAACTCCAAGCGGAAGCTAAGCCAGGCCTTGGGGTCACACGCGTGTCTCCAGGCACTGTGGCTGAGGAGGGTGCTGGGCTTAGCGAGGAGGAGTTTGTTAAGCTGAATCTTGCTGTGGTTGGTGGCAAAGACTCTCAGGGGCTTCCGTGGCTTTCCAGCACTGGAAAGGGAAGGAATCTGAAACCACGTCTGGGCTGGGCAGGAAGTGCTGATTGATTAGTAAAGCCTGCAGTGAGTGCAGGAAGAGGGAGTGGTGCACACATACTATGTACTTGCTGAGTCTGGTTTCCAGTTCATCCTTACAGCCAGAGAGAGAGTCACCCCAGGTCAAGCACTAGGTCAGTAGCTGGGGCCAGTGAAAACCCAGACCTTTGTTCTCTAGATCTGTGTGTTCTAGGATGTTTCTAAAGTCACATAAACATCCTTGGTGCCCATTCCAACAAGAGGAGTTGGTAAATCAGATAAAAGGGGAGTAAATCAGAAGGAATCTAGTTATGTCCCCTCTGGAGCGATTCACAACTGATGAACAAGCCTCTCTTCTAGTCTTAAAGAATCAGGTGGGAGGGACACACATTCTTCAGCAGAATTGAAATAAATTGGCCTTCTATCCTCCCAGGTCTGCACATTCCCTTTGTCAGAAATAGGTATTATTAGTAAGCAGCTGCTAAATGGCCTTCTGGGACTGAGGCATTCTCCCTAGTTCAGTAGAGGTATTTCTCTTTAAATACCAAAATATTTTAAAAATTCAGAACCACTTAGAGTGGAAATGTCGTATCTTGTAGGATGCCCTTGGGGCTATTGATGCATGGGACGATTTGCTCCTACATGTAATAGCCCCTAATTCTGAAATTGTCTTAGTGCCTTTTCTCTCCCTCTGGATTTCATTTCATGCATTGGTCCACATGTCTAACTCAAAAGGTACCACCCACTCCTTCATAAACATCTTCTCATTTGTTTTTTTCTAACCTCCAGTAGCTTAAGGAAACCGGAGAACAAAGTTTATAAGAGTTATAAGCAAATAAAAAGTAAATGGTCTCCGAGAAAATGGCCCATGGGCCTCCTGAGTAAAGAGCACCAGCTTTTCTCTAGAGCCTCTGTGGCTTTGTTTTCTTCCAATTCTTTCTGGTTTCTTTCTCTGTTCTTGCTGGCTTTCCTGTGGGCGAGGTTACCAGAGAGCTGGGCTCCAAGTAGGTGAAGTTATGATAATAAAAATCACAAGCATGTACCAAAGAACAGACTGACTAATATTTCCAGGCTGTGGAAGGCAGGGGTAGTGGTAGGGTTGCAGTGGGTGGAGATGCATACTCACTGCTTTGCATTTGGCAATTCATCCTCTATTCTGTCCCCAGGTGACTGTGCTGGACAACGGGGAGCCCTCCTTAAAGTCCACCTCCAGGGTGGTGGTACGCATCTTAGATGTCAATGACAACCCCCCTGTGTTCTCCCATAAGCTCTTCAATGTCCGCCTTCCAGAGAGGCTGAGCCCGGCCACCCCCGGGCCCGTGTACAGGCTGGTGGCTTCAGACCCTGATGAGGGTCTCAATGGCAGGGTCACCTACAGTATCGAGGAAAGTGATGAGGGGAGCTTCGATATCGACCCAGTCACAGGCATGGTGTCATCCAGCAGTACCTTCACAGCCGGAGAGTACAACATCCTCACGGTGAGGAGGGAATGGAGGCTGCGGACAGGGGAGTGTCATAACTGCTAAGGGATTTTATTTGAGGATACAGGAGAAGGGAAACAGTCATCAGGCATGGTGGAGGTGGTACTCCCTTCCCTGGCTCTCTCCGAGAGAAATGGGAGCCCTGACATCAGCCAAAGCATCAGAATTCTGGGCCTTTCTCTTTGAAGGCAATAAGGTCCTTGCCTGGGAAATCTGTTCTATTCTTAGAGGTAAGGATTTTGGTGAGAGTAGCATAGACTTTGGAGGTAAGCCTACGTTCCGGCCCTAGTTCTGCCATCTTACACCTGTGTGACTTTGGACAAGTCACTGAACCTCTTTGAGACTTTGTTTTATCATCTGTAAAATGGGGATAAGAACATTTTCCTTGTAGGAAGCCAAATAACAAGTGGTTAAGACATGGACTCCTGTGTCTGACAGCCTGAATCCAACCCCAGCCTCATTGCTGGCCAGGCAGATAATCCCTGGGAGCTGAATACATTTCCTCCTGCCAAAGGGAGATATAACGGTACCTCTCTCAGGGTTGTCATGAGAATTAAATTAGATATTGCACATATTGCTCTTAGAGCAGGGCCAGATACTAGTGAGAGCTCCATAAATTCTATTTAGTTTATGTTTATGGTTGTTAAGAAGGGCCCATGTATGCCAAGTCCAGCTTGGGAACTAGCACACAGTAAGGCTTCAGTTAATGGTGGCTCTGATTATTTTTTCCCTACACATGGAGTTCTTGAGCACAGGTTATTTGTTTTGTTCACCACTGTGCCTGCAGCAACTAGCATGGTGCCTGTTTACAGTGTGTTGAATGAATGGATGAATGGCTAAAAGTCCAGCTCCACCAGTCACAGGGCACTCTGTCTCTTGGCTGACCACCCGGGTCTTCTTTTTCTTGGCCGCAACCCTACAGACAAAGCCTCAATTTCAGGTTTGGCTTCTTTTCAGATCAAAGCAACAGACAGTGGGCAGCCTCCACTCTCAGCCAGTGTCCGGCTACACATCGAGTGGATCGCCCAGCCCCGGTCCTCCTCCATACCACTGGCCTTTGACGAGCCCCACTACAGCTTTACAGTCATGGAGACAGACCCTGTGAACCATATGGTGGGCGTCATCAGTGTGGAGGGCCGACCCGGTCTCTTCTGGTTCAACATCTCCGGTGAGAGCCCTGGGAGGGCCAGCCCCTCCCAACCTTATAGCCCAGCCTTGGTCCTCACAGAACAGTCCTTCTCAGTGCTCTCATTCAGGTCATGCTCCCCGGAACGCCCGCTTTGGCTATGAGTGGTGACTGTCTCTTCCCTTATTCTCCGGGGGAGCGGGTGAGTAGAAGCACCACTTCTGCCAAACTTGCCTTCCACACCAGCTATGATCTCATGAGAGGAGAGCCTCCATGGCCTTGCTGGTGCCCCCCTAGCCAGAGTTGGACAGAACTTCAATTACCCCAAGGGCCTGGGAGACTCAGGAGAAAGCACAAGTTTTGTGTTTCCTCTCCTGCCTCAATGTGAGATCCATGCAGAGCTGACATCATTCACCAGGAG